CAAAACAACATATTACTACTATTTTTAAAAATAATAAAAATTATAGATTTAAAAAAGAACATAGGTTCTATACCTATTGGATAATTATTGTGCTTGTGTCAGAAAAAGCAAAGCTAGACTAAATAGGAATTGTGCTTTTTCCCCCAAAGTTACAATTAATTCATGTAAAAAATTCACCCACATTATTGGATCTAGACTCAAGAATTCTGCAGTACTCAATTCTAGACTCCTTAAATACTTTTATTAACAGGTTGTATGATGTTCAAAAAAACTGTTTTTAATAGATATTTATATGTGGGTTTAATTTTTTTAAAAGAAGGTGACTAATTTCCTCAAGGTTAAAACTGAAGTACAAACTGACCTAGTTCAATCAGGGAGAGTCAATCATACAAAATAAGGTCATACAAACTCAAAAGCATAATTACATTTAAGTGCAAGGTATGGAATGAAGACAACTTAATAAAAATATGAAAAAAGATTCAGGAATCATGTGTCCAGAAATCATTGTAGTTAAAAGTTTAACAAAATATTAGGACATATGAAAAAGATAAAGAACTCATTGGTTTTTCAGACAACAATTTTGTTTTTATTACATCTTCACGTGATCCCATTTATATGAGTAAGCCAGAGAGCACCCAATTTTGAGTAGCCATATAAATAAAGAATTTAAAAATTGAGTCCAAAAATAATGGATGTGATACACTAGAAGGTGAGTTATACCATTACTTTTTAGTAAGTGAAAGTTCAGGGTTGCACAGCTGACTTCCTAGGAAGGAAAGACAATGACTATCTGCAATGAATAAAAATGTAAATAAATAAAATTATACTTTCATAAGAAAAATTTATACTTATCTATTTATTTCGAAATACGGATTCAACAAATTGATTTTGTTTACTTCATGTAGATAAGGATTAACTGGGTGCCTATATGATATATATATATAATGGCTTCTGAATAACAAGTTTGTAAATTCTTGAATAATTCATCAAAGAAGATTATTTAAATCTTCCCCTCACAAGATGTAAATCTAGGACAGTCAACCTTTAATCTTAGATTAGAAAGGAGTATGTGAAATTCCAAATCCTTTATATCCAGCAGTAAATTAGAGTCCAACGTTTCAGCCATTAATCTCAACTCCCTAATCCAGGCATTTTTATTAAAACTTTCAAATAGATGATATATTAACTCAGCATAACATGCTATTTATTAGTACCTATATTTTAAGTAAATATGAAGACAACCAAAAATAATTAAAAATTCTAATAAAAAAATCAACATGGAGACAAAAAGAGGAAAAGAAGAATATTCATCTTAAAAGAGATGATAAACTTATAAATTTTAATGTAAAAATAACTTTATATTATATTATTTATTGATTTTTTTATTGATTTTAAGATAGAGGAAGGGAGAGGGAGAGAGATAGAAACATTAATGAGAGAGAACATCTATTGTCCGCCTCCTGAGGATTGGACCCATGACCTGGGCATGTGCCCTGACCAGGAATCAAATTGGCAACCTCTTGGTGCATGGGTCAATGTTCAACCACTGAGCCATACCAGCCGGGCCATATTATATTCTTTAATTTTTTATTTAATCTGTGGTATTTTTTTGTTTTGTTTTGTTTTTAATTTTCTGAGTAGAGAAAGGATAAACTGCTCTAGGCATAACACTGGAAAATCTATATTTGAATATAGAAATAAATTTCAGTATTTGCAAGCTTAGAAGACAGGAATAGAGTTGAAGTAAAATTTGCTTTCATATAAATAAACAACAATTAAAAACTGGGCAGAGAAGTTATTTATATAAGAAAGCTTCCAATCAAAAGTTAGAGAATGCATGGAAAATTTCATAGTAGCAAAGATTGGAAAGTCATATCCATGTTCTTATAGTCTTCCCAAGAATAGAAAGTGCCTTATAGTCATTAAATAGAAATTTTAGATTAATGTTGAAAAGTGAGATTGTATTCAGCAAATAAAAAACAGCAATAGAAAAATATAGAGTGGGCCAAAAGTAGGTTTACAGTTGTTTGTATGGAAAAAATACAATAATTAATTAATAATACAAGAATAAACTCTGTGGTTTACATACTCACAACTATAAACTTACTTCTGCCTGACCCTGTATAAGTGCAATTAAATTAGGTAATAAGAATAACATTCATAGACTATAATTATTACCATTAAATTAATGGGTTTTTGTTCCTTAATATTCTGTATATTTCTCTGTATTAAAGATACATAAATCTTATACTTAAAATGTCAAACAGGGGTTAAAGGAGGAAACTGAATATGTGCAGTGATATTTAATAAGAATATATAAGACTGATATCAAATAATATTACTATATAATTTGGTATAGCATCTTTTAAAAAATATAGTTGGCTGTTTTAGGTCACTTCATATCAGTCCCTACAAAATAAATAAATAAATAAATAAGAGAAACTGATTAAAAGCAAATCTCCCATCTAATTTTGCTAAATGTTATCAGTTTCATAATAAAACATGACTCGTTTTTAATGAAGTCTAAGGAAATGATGAGAAATATGAGAATTCATTTAATTTCTATGACTACAAGAAAAATCAACTTCACATAAACTATACTAACTGGCTGAATGAAGAGCTGCCACCAATCAACTCTCTTGCTTCACAAAAAGCATGAGAACATTTCATCATATTTTGTTTAAATATAAATTGATGCCATGTAGCAATCATTTTAACTTCTAGCTATCATGTCTCCCTAACAAATCAAAAGCCCCCCCCCAAATTATAGGAATATCATACATATTATTTTAATTAGTATTGTTTTTATCACCTTGTGTTAATATAGCACCTTGGTCCAAATTTGCCAACATTGTAAATTGTTTATTTATTTTATCTTTTAATCAGGGCATTCCTTAACGTATCTGTGGTACATGATTCTATACATAGAAATCATTATCAGTGTTCTGAACCCCTGTAGAAACTAAATAATTCAGATTCACTATATCTTTGTAAAAAAAGAAGAACACAGAAGAACAACAAAAAACTGGTATGTAAATTAATTCTAATTATTTCTGGCTTTGTTAAAAAAAACTTGATAAAAATCTAAAAACAACTAAAAATATGTTGCCTTAAAAGGACATTTGCTTTAATAAATTACTTTATATGTTTGAAAAACTAGAGAACAACATGTAAAATGACCCTTGAAGTCTAATTTTAAATTTCCGAAAGACCAATCAATATGATAATCTACTTTTTAATAAATCTCAAAGTGACGCATAAACATGGATTCCTGGACAGAGACTTTTGCACTGTTAAGAAAGTTGTTCTATCTTCCTAGCAGGCCTAACATAAAGAAAAAGATTATACATCTTGTTCTAGTGATAGAAATAGGCACATACAAGAAATACCAATGCAATGAACATGCTACAACACATCTACTTAGCCTGTTCCAAATGACTCTCATACTTTAAACAGTGGTCAGTACACAATATGCTAGGTTAAATTTTAAAACATATATGCAGCTCACTGAAGTTAATTATACTGAATACGATCTATTCAAATTATTTATTTATAGTTATCTTAAAGAACATGTACATCAGAACCAGGGTGAAAATTTTCCACTTTGCCCTACAAACTGTAGTTTATATACTGTCTGTAGCACAGTAAATATGCATACGATGTGAAATGACAGGATAACTGAACTGCTTTAATCTAACAACTTACTGAGCAACTTGGTCAAGAGGAATTAGGGTCCAAGATCTTACACATGAATAATGAAAATGACAGAAGGCCCAAACTTTTTATGAAGCACACCGGATAACTTTTAACTGCAACATAAGTTGAGGCTGTGTAAAACAAGATATACTTGTAGAGTGAAAATTGAAATTTCAAAGGTAAGATCTCAACTTATATATTTATCAGATTTTCATTTTATCAATCCTAAATTCTGAAACGGGCTATGGTTCTGTAATGCAAACTCAGATACATTTTCAAGATTTTATTTGAGGTCATCACTTTAAATTTATGAACACTTTAAACTACCTGAGGTAAATCCCTCAAAAAGACAAACTGCAAATAAAACAGAGAGAGAGAGACAACTGGGCTTGTATCCTAGTTGCCAGAATCTAATTGGGTGATTAGGGTGGGCTTCTCTTCTTGTTTGTAGTAGTGCCCTGTAAGGACTAGATGAACCATGCTTTAATGACCACTCTAGGTGCAATTTGTTTTAGCATTTACACTGTTGATAGCAAGAAGCAATCTTCTTTAATGGATGCTGAAAAACTTCAAGTGAAATCTGTAATTGACAAAGGCTTCATAGAACTGGGCAATTGAAAATAAAATTAACAAGAGGCTCTACAGGAAAAGCACTCAAGATTTCACAGAATACTTCTCTAGGAAAAGATTTAGTAAAAATAAAATATTTAAAAACCAGGTGTTGTTTCTTCCACTTTATTAACTGTTTCTCGGGTCTGTGTGCTCATTAAAAATATAACCATAGGTAGAGTTGATGTTATGGGGTCTAGAGGGAAAATCCACCTGCTGATATCATTAAGGGAGAGGAAGGGAGAGAAATAAATAAATAAAGAAAAGCCTTAAGTAAAAGTTGGGGTAAGTTCAGCTCCTATTTCTTCAAAATAAAAGCTGTTCAGTTTTAGTACCTCCAATTTAATGAAGTAAAATACTGACAACAAATCGAAAGAGCTCTAAAAAGCAAAGCAGCAAGGGTAAGGCAGAAAACAGGACACACTCATTTACGTCTGGGTTCCAGGAAACACCACCACTCCTTAAGTGTCACTAGTTCAGAAAGTGATACAAGCACAACCCAATGATGGATTTAAGCACAAGAGTGAGTGGAGACAAAACAGTACTGTCAACTGTGCTTTCTTTGCCCAAGCCCCCAGCCCTGTCCTCCCCAAAGGAAGTTTACCTGTGGCGAAAGGTCAGACTAGAGGGCTGGGGTGGTTCCCGGGTTGGAGGGTGGGCGGTTGCCAGGTGGGGAAGGGGCAGGTCGCACTTACTTTGAGCAGCTTGCAGCGGATCTGTGCGGAGACCATGTGGCTGTTGCGCAGGTTGCCCACCCGGAACATAAGCGTGAGTTTTCCGTCCCTCATGGAGATCACCGCGTGCTCACTAAACATAAGGGTCTCCGCGCGCTTCTTGGGCTGAGACATCTTGATGAACATGCAGCCGATGAGGAAAGCGTCCACGATGGAGCCGAGGATGGACTGGAAGAGGAAGAGGATAATGCCCTCGGGGCACTTGTCAGTGATGTAGCGGTAGCCATAGCCGATGGTGGCCTCGGTCTCAATGAAGAAGAGGAAGGCAGAGGGGAAGTTATAGACATTGGCCACGCAGGGCGTGTAGTTGCCGACGTGGGCTTTGTTTAGGTCGCCCCGAGTGTAGGCGATCACCCACCACATGGACGCCATGAAGAGCCAGGCCACGGTGTAGGTGAGGATGAAGATGAAGAGGTTCCAGCGCCACTTGAGGTCCACCAGGGTGGTGAAGAGGTCCGAGAGGTAGCGGCTCGTCTCGCTGCCCAGGTTGCCGTGCTGTACATTGCACCGGCCGTTCTTGTCCACGAACCGCTGCCGCTTCCTCTTGGGCACAAGCTGCTGCTGCGGGCTCTGGCCGGACCCCTGGGGCTGCAAGCCCGAGCCACTGGACGAGGTGGTCACTACCTGGTAATCGTCCCCAAATTTCCTTCGGAGTGCAGACATAATACGGAGGAGCGAGCCAGATTCAAACGCGAAGTGAAGGCGCCGGAGCCGAGCGCTGCACACCAGCACCAATGAGGAGGTGGGGGTGGGGGAGGAAGGGGGGGACAAAAGAGAGCGCACCTGGGTTGGGGGGCCACCGGGCAGGTAGAGGAGGTCTCTGCAGTCCTCTCTCTTCCCCTGGGACGGAGGCTTTCCTCGGAAGCTGAGTCTGTAAAAAGTGTTCTCCTGCACTCAAGGCAGGAGGAATGCCAGGACCACAAGGGCAATTTTGCCTCCAAGCTTTTTGAGGCTTCGCTTTTCTTCCCCCACCACCGGCATCCCGGGCGACCTCTTGCCTTCCTCTCAGCCCTCTACTCTCCTGCAGCACTCCCGACTGACTCTTCTTAAATTAATAGTTGAAGAGCGAGTTCCACTACACCTGCCAACTCACCAGTGTGCTGAAGCTGCGTTACCTGCTTGGGCCAGACCCTCCCCCTTCCCCACGCTCAGGGTTCGCCTGCCCCCCCCCACGGGACAGCTCCTGGCTGCCCCCGGCGCTTCCCACTCCTATCTTTTGGCCAAAATCCCGCCCAAAGGCATGTCTGCCGTGCACTAGTGCAACACCCCCTACCCACGCCCTCCGGAATCAGAGTCCCCCGCTACGCACTCCAGAGACGAGTCCGCCGGCCGCCCAATTTCCGTGGGCGCCACCAGGCCCCTCGAGTGGACCCTGAAGGGCCCCCAGCCGCCCCCGCGTGCAGCAGAGACGCAGCGGTGCAGGAAACCAGAGCACTCACCCCGGGGGAGAACGCACAGCGGGCAGCAGCGGCAGCCTGGCCTCACACTCGCGCGCTCAAGGCTGTTTTCCTCGCCCCCACTTTTCCTGCTGGACCAGGATGGGCACCAATGCAGTTCCCCCAAGCTCCGCAACTTCCAGCGGGCACCACGCTGTTCCCACCAGAAGGATCGTGGAGCCACTGGCACAGACTGATTTGAGCGCGGGACTTGGGGGTTCCTTGACGCCCTGCTTTCCCAGCAGGCGACAGTGGCACTGTTGCAAGGGGTTCGAGCCTCGGGCTGCCGGTCACTTTCAGCTTAAAGACTAGCGCCACTCCGGCTTTTCCTCTGTTTCACGGTTTTTTCCTTGGCCTCTTTCTTCCTCGGTTTCTTACACCCTTTCCGCGCCTCGGTGGCCCGGTTGGAAGACGCCAGCCGGCTGCAGGAGCGGCGAGAGCGCTGTATGTGCTGGTGCGTGTGATCAGCTGCAGAGACGCGCTGGCCCCGCCTGTCCCTGCCTTCCCCCGCCGCTCCACCAGCCTGAATTGCACCTCCGCGCCTCAGTTGAGCCTGCAGTCTGGCAGCTCAGGAAAAAGCGAACCCCTCCAATGAGAAGCGACTCTCAGTTGGCTCCCAAACGCCAGGCAACACTCCTTCTTCGCCCCTCTGCATCAGGCAAAGCCCCCAGCAAGCAGCAGATCTGTTCTCTGAAAGCAAGGGAGTACAATATGTCCCTATAACTAGGGCTCTCATTTAAACGGATGCCTGGGTTGGGGGGCTACATCACAGAGACCCCAAATTGGCTTCGAGATAAGCATGTTCAGAACTCAGAATTGCAAGTAGCAAAGGAGGCCTTAGGGTGGGAACAGAAAGGAGAGGAAGGAGACACTTATAGGAAAGCTCATAATCTTGCCTGAAAACGGCTCTATTAAAAAAGGTTCGGGATGTCCAGAGTTAATGTGTGGCTGTAATTGAGGGAAGAAGGCTGGATTTTAATGGCCCAGGCTCGGCAGTTAACTAAATGGAGGGGCAAAGTGCAGAGAGTGCCCATATGTAAATACCAGCTTATTTACCACATTTCATGTTAGTTTAAAAATGCCATGGTATCTTGTAGCATATTCATTACATTCAGTCTATTCAGACCAGATGTATAAAATTGATTTTGTTGGAAAAAATCATCAAACCCTGAGATTATTAAAGCAAGGGGCTGCTATAAGACTCTCAAGCACGGGAAAATATGTATACTGTAGGTACATAATCACTATCAATTATCGGCCTGTACTCCCCTCTGCATCTCTACCACTAAACCTTAGTGCAGGCAAATATGTGTCACCTTCTCCTCCACAAGCCTGGTACTGTTCCCTGCCCTTTAGTTAAAACAGCTACCCGGTGTTACAGACTCTTTTCCTGTAGGTGTCTGATAAGAGGTCAGTAACTCTCTACTATTCTTTAGGATTACATAAGAAGGGAAAGGGACACTGTGGGGAGTGGAAACTGCTCCGGTCCTGGAATCATAAGACCGGATTTGTGTCCTAGCCCTGCCATTCACAAACTGTGTGACCTTGAGTAAGCTGCTAAGTATCTTTGGGCCCCAACTTTTTTTTTTTTTTTTCTGAAAAATAGGGAGTTTCAACATGTTCCCAAAGTTTGTGTGGAAAAAGAGAACGAACGTGGTTCTATTAGCTACTTTTGCTGCCAGGGTTGTTATCACCTGGGTTATAAAAATGCAACAAAGCCAAGAGATTAAAAATGAGTTTTTGGAGTTGGACCCACCTGGTGAGCTAATGCTCGTATTGCCCTCTTATCTCTGACTGCTCTTCCCCTAACTCACTATGCCCTTGACAGCCTGGCTTCTTTCAATTCCTGAAACCCATGGAAACATCCGTGTACCTGAGTGTTATCTGGTCCCTCTTCGTGGAATGTTCTTGCCCTGCTGCTCCACGTTGCTGGCTCTTTCTTTCATTCAACCTGAATGCGTCTTCCTAAGGAGACCTTCACTAGCCCAGGTATTCCCTATCACACCAGCTTGGTTCATTTTCTTCACAGCACTTTTATCCCCTAATGCTATTGTCTCCATTTGTTTGTTGTCTCTCTCTCACTACATCAAAGTCCTGGAATGTAAGCTCTACAAGACCAAGAACCTTGTCTCTCTTCACTGCTGTGCCCGAACACCTAAAACACAGCCTGTCAAATACTAGGTCCACAATAAATATTTGTTAGATCAATAACATGCACCAATCCACATCACTAGGACCTCCACATACATTGAAATTCTCTGAGTAGTACAGAAGTAAAGGTCATCACTAGACCACATCACTTATGTGATTTACTATAAAAGAACTTGTAAATAGCCTGGCCCATGTGGCTCAGTGGATGAGCATTGATCCATGCACCAAGAGGTTCCTGGTTCAGTTCCTGGTCAGAGCACATGCCCAGGTTGTGGGCCCAATCCCCAGTGTGGGGCATGCAGGAGGCAGCCAATCGGTGTTCTCTCTCATCGATGTTTCTATCTTTCTCTTCCTCTCCCTTCCTTGCTCTCTAAAATCAATAAAGAAAAAAATCTTTTAAAAAAATAATGTGTAAATAAAAAAGTAATCTTTCCTGTGCTTCTTATGTCTAAGACTGATATTCAATCAGGTGCCAAATTCTTTTGATTGTACCACTGCAGTATCTCTCACATAATTTCTCTTTAAAAAGTGCTACTAACTTTCTTTAAATCTCCATTTCAGTTTGGGTCCAATGTGAAATGATTTTCTTGCCTTCATTCTTTTACTCCTTCAGTCTTAGATGGTATTACTGGATCTATTTCCTTAGAATCACAAAAATTTAGTAAGGAAATGGAAACCAAATAGTTCTCTGATTATATTACTCAATTATTTCATTCCCAAGCTTTTAAACATTCCCACTTTTTAAAAATCACTTTTCTATAAAAAACCTTTGCCATTTTTCAGCAACCAAACTTACAGTTTTATACCTCAAGAGACATAACCTAATGTAATCCTCTCATTTAACAAATAAGCGAATTGGGGCTAGAAAGAGAAAATAACTTGTTCAATGCTAGAGTTTGTAAGTGGAAACTTTGAGATTTGAACCCAGAACATTGTCTCTTCAGAACCTGGGTGTTCTGCCATCTCTTTCCAAGTGCCTAGAAGAGAGTTTAGAATTTCTGATTCATAACCAGGGTCAGCCTTTGCTACATCATGCTTCTCATATAGGTTGAGATCTCTGGTCCTCCAAAATATGCCTAAATTATATTTCCAAAATTATCTCCTACCCTCTCTTTAAAGTGGGCAATACTCCAGGCAACTTTGACTGTTACTAATTACTTAAACAGGCCTTACACTAATTTTATTTGCTCAACTTCTTTCCTTAAGTACACTTTTTCTATCCCTGCAAAAATTCAAATCACCATCACTAGAGAAGGAAATAATTTCTTTGGCTTTCATTTCAAGTGTATTTCCCCCCATGAAACTTTTCCTATCCTTCCACTCACAGGCCTCTCATCCTTCTTGAATTTTATTTTCCTAGATTTTGTAATCCGCCATTTTTTTACTTTCTAGCCTGTACTTGAACTCAGAATTCACTAAGGTTTCTCCTAAGAATACCCTGAGCCATCCACCTCTTGATATTTTGATATCACTTGGTATTCTAATTATCCAACCTTGCCCTGCACGTGGGAAATATTTAATGAATTTTTAAAGAGAACTAAATTGATTGAGCTGACTTTAATGTGCCAGGCAATGTGCTTGGTGCTTTGAACTTTACAGTTACTATTCCTGTTGTATAACTAGAAAGATGGCAGACAGGTATTCCAAAACCTATCTGCCCATTTTCAAGGTCTTTATTTCAGAGAATCAGTACTTCCTGATACAGTAAATATTTTTTCAGGATGCCATCATGTCACACTTTAATGTGACTGAGCCTTGACTTATCAGTGACATTAAGTCCAACTCCTTGAAAATATTTAAAGATGAACCAACCTCGTCTTCCTCTGTCAGCACAGCCGCTTTCATGACGAGGTTCTGGAGGACAGCCAGCCCCACGGTGCCAAAGCCAGGCGGGATGTGTGGGGAATGGATGACAGAAGGCCACCTAATCAGGTGCTGTCTGATGAACTGAAGTGAAATACTGTAAACAGAATGGGTCAAAGGAAGGAGAGACGCACAATTTCAGCCAAAGCCACAAAACCAGAAAAATCTGGAAAATATAACTACAGAACACACAATCATTTGGAGTCTCACATA